TGCCGCCGGCCCCACCGGCCCGGCTCTCCCGTCCGCCAGCCCCGCCGCCGCCGCGCCACCCGCCAAAGGCAAGTAAACCACGCGTTGCTCCGTCTTTTCCGCCGCTTGCTCGATCTTTCCAATTTTTCTCACGTACATTTTCTCGCGTGCCTGTCACTTGCAGTCGGAGTTATCGCCGTCGAAGACCAGCCGGACGTGAGCGCGGTGTTGTCCGCCTACAACCAACAAGGTGACCCAGCGCTGTACGAGGAATACTACAGCGGACTGAAACACTTCATCGAGTGCTCCCTAGACTGTCACCGGGCCGAATTATCCCAGCTGTTTTATCCGCTTTTTGTGCACATGTATTTGGAGTTGGTCTACAATCAACATGAGAGTGAAGCAAAGTCTTTCTTTGAGAAGTAAGGCATTTACACTCCTGAGTTTGCCTTCTGTTTATACAGATGCCTTCTTCTCTACAGATTTAACTAAACAAGAGAGAACTTTATTAGCAAAAGGAAGGCAGGGAACAGGGGAAAAAACACTCCTATAATTGTGGTCATTGGGGAGTTTTGGGAACTACCTTACATGTCTTATGTTTAACACAACTAAAATATGTCTAGATAAGAGTAATAAATCGTTGCGTTGATATAACTATTGAAGCAGGGAACTTACTGTAGTCGGGAGTCTTGCTTTGTGTCCTGAATTTCTTAACGTGCTATCTTCATATGTTAAAATGTATTAAAATAACATGGCAGCTCGTCACTGAGAATCAAACACAAGGGAAAAGGATAAGTTTTTTGTAAGCTTCCATCCCAGGTTTCAAATTTCTCTACGAGGAATGAAAAAGTAACTTAATTTGTCTTTTTTTGCCAGACCGCTTGAAGTCTAATTCATCTTTTGGTTTAGAAACATGGAGAAGTTGGGCTGGAAGGGACCTCCAGAAGTCATCTAGTCCAACCCCCTGCCTGAGGCAGGATCATCCCTATCCCTTGGTTTAGACCAAGCATGAAATAATGCAGCCCCAAGGCATCACTTTTCTCAGAAAACTATGATAAGTAAAAATAGTTTTGCACACATTGGTGAAATATTCCCATCCATGAGTGTTTTAATGTTATCAGTCAATATAAAATGCGTTGTATCCCCAGGCTTAGGTTAATTTTGTTGGCGCTGAATATTAATGATATTAATACATTTACAATTGGAAAATGTTAAAAGGCATATTTGGTGAAAATGCTTACTCCAGTATGAAAACTATGCTGAAATGATTAATCATTTTAGTAATGATGACTATTTAGTCCAGTGTAACGTACAATGCATTGGGCTGATGCTTGGCAGGAATTAAATATGTTATAGCATGGTTGGAAAGGATGTTAGTCTTAGTGATCAGGCCAACAATATTGGTAATAACACTTCGCCTACCTAAAAATCTCCTTACAGTTCTCCTTTGGTCATATACCTTTCACACGTTGTATTATAACTGTTGGGTAGTGTTGTGTGTGCTGCATACAGTTGCACTTTAGCTATGACATGATCTCATATGTAGTTGTTAAGTACCCTGGAGTACCAAAAGAGATATCAGAATTCTTGGAGATGTGATATCTTTTATTAGACCAACTAGATAGTTGCAAAAAAATTAATTTAGTTGGTCTAATAAAATATATCATCTCCCCAAGAGTTCTGATTACTTTTGCCTTACAGACCAACATGGCTACAACCTGTATCCCTGAAATATAGGGATATGTAATTGCTTTGGGGGGAGTATCAAATCCATGAGTATGTGTACAATATTATGACTATAACAAATGGTACTTCATGTTTTAAACTAAAACTGTATTTCAATAGGTTTCATGGAGATCAGGAGTGTTATTACCAGGATGACCTGCGTGTATTATCCAGCTTAACCAAAAAGGAACACATGAAAGGGAACGAGACCATGCTGGATTTCCGAACAAGCAAATTTGTGCTGCGCATTTCCCGTGACTCTTACCAGCTCTTGAAGAGACACCTGCAGGAAAAGCAGAACAATCAGATCTGGAACATTGTTCAGGAGCATCTCTACATCGACATCTTTGATGGAATGCCCCGCAGCAAACAGCAGATAGATGCTATGGTGGGAAGCTTGGCTGGAGAGGCAAAACGAGAGGCAAATAAAGCAAAGGTATGAGGCAAATCCTCTCACACTATTAAGCAATTGCAGCATGTAGAGAAATTTGTCAGCTGCCTTAATAGAGCAAGCAGTCTTGGATTCTGAATATGAATAGCCTAACTGACAACATACCTGGGACAATAACAGTAAAGGTTGGCACATTTATCCTCTGCACGTAAATTAAGATAAGTAACCATTTGTAACTGGTCTCTGAAGAACCTCTCTGGCCACTGAAAGAGACAGGTTTATTTAGCGGACTGAATGCAAGTCGGACCCCCTCATTTGTATCAAAAAAGATAGTTTGTCCATCTCCGGTAGTTGTTATGAAAATGTACTATTTGTATACTGTTGTAGCTTCTCAAAATATCAAGAGTAGTATATAGATACTATATCTCAACCATAGGGATTCGAAGGGATGTTGTGAGGGAAATTGGGGTGATCAGCATCTCTCAGGATTGTTATTTGTGAGAGTTGAAGACTGCAAACGAGTCCAGAGGAGAGCCACGTGCATGATCAGAGGTCAGGAAAACAGGCCGTATGATGAGAGGCTTCATCATGATGAGAGTTATGGGACTCTTCAGCCTGGAAAGCGCAGGCTCAGAGGTGATCTGGTGGCCACCTATAAGTTCATCAGGGGTGCTCACCAGGATCTGGGGGAACGTCTGTTCACCAAAGTGCCCCAGGGGGTGACAAGGTCAAATGGTCACGAACTCCTCTATGACCGTTTCAGGCTGGACACAAGGAAGAACATCTTTTACTGTCCGAGCCCCCAGGGTCTGGAATAGACTGCCGCCAGAGGTGTTTCAAGCACCTACCTTGAACGCCTTCAAGAGAAATTTGGGTGCTTATCTTGCTGGGATCTTATGACCCCTGCTGACTTCCTGCCCCTGGGGCAGAGGGCTAGACTTGATGATCTTCAGAGGTCCCTTCCAGCCCTAATGTCTATGAAATCACAAACCCTTTAAATGTTTATAGATTCATAGATGTTAGGGTCGGAAGGGACCTCAATAGATCATCGAGTCCGACCCCCTGCATAGGCAGGGAAGAGTGCTGGGGCTAGATGACCCCAGCTAGATGCATATCCAACCTCCTCTTGAAGACCCCCAGGATAGGGGAGAGCACCACCTCCCTTGGGAGCCCGTTCCAGACTTTGGCCACTCTAACTGTGAAGAAGTTCTTCCTAATGTCCAGTCTAAATCTGCTCTCTGCTAGCTTGTGGCCATTATTTCTTGTAACCCCCAGGGGCGCCTTGGTGAATAAAACCTTACCAATTCCCTTCTGTGCCCCTGTGATGAACTTATAGGCAGCCACAAGCTCGCCTCTCAACCTTCTCTCGCGGAGGCTGAAAAGGTCCAGGTTCTCTAGTCTCTCCTCGTAGGGCTTGGCCTGCAAGCCCTTAACCATACAAGTGGCCCTTCTCTGGACTCTCTCCAGGTTATTCGCATCCCTCTTGAAGTGCAGTGCCCAGAATTGCACGCAGTACTCCAACTGCGGTCTGACCAGCGCCCGATAGAGGGGAAGTATCACCTCTTTGGATCT